CTCTCTCTCTTCTCTCTCTCTCTCTTCTCTCTCTCACCTTCGGGGCGCCGTCACCATTTGCTCCACCCCCCTTGACCCCGTCTTTCATGCCGCCCTCATCCTCACCACCAGCTACCGCCGCCGCCGCGGCTGCCACTGCTGCCGCAGCCGCTGCTGCCGCCGATTCTAGGCGAGCGGTCTTTCTACGTCTGGCGAGCTTCATGAAGGGCTCCTCCTCCATTCTCGCCTGGGCAGCGTCAGACGTTGATCAAGGCGACAACAAAAGCATAAGCAACCACCACGCTTACCACAACACGATATTTAGCGCGCGATAACATCAAGAACCACGCTCCTTCCACACAAAAAATTAGACCAACACAAACATTTACAAGGTTCTTGAGGCTTTTGCGCCACCGCCCAATGTTGAGCGATTCCAAGGCAAACGTCAACATGGGATGGAAAGGCCAGGCAGTGTAGGTGGAAAACGCGCTCACCACCGCTGTGTTGCAATGTGTTTAAAGGAGAATGCACTTGATTGAACGATCCGGACAAGGCCGGGCGTTGGGCATCTACATGTATCTAATGCCTTTGGAAGAAGACAACACTTAATTTTCTTACTGGCGCTTGCCGCGCCGCCGCCATCATGCCTATATCTACCGTATTCAACCTGATGTAAGCCGGAACGAGGACGGACGTCCTTAGTTGTCTGACACTACTGAAGGTTGAGTGCCATCAACGACAAAAACACAGAGTACACCCTGCCTGTAAGTCCGTCGTGCGTAAATGACTGTGTATGGTAGACTTTCGGGTCAATGGTGCTTCGCGCGACCGCCCGAACGAAGAGAATCGGGGTACTTTCAAGAGGAGATCAAACCATGTAGAAGGATGTACTCAACGCATCAACAAGTATGTAATAGACGATGATAACGAGGGCAGAAACCCAACCAGCAGTGTGTGCAGCACAATAGAAAGTGACGAGGAGAGAGAGTTAACAGGGCATGGAGGAGCACTGGTAGGTACATGCACATCCATCCATGATGTCGATCGATTACAATTCGACAGAGAGAGAGAGAGAGAGAGAGAGAGGGAGGGAGAGGGAGAGAGAGAGGGAGAGAATAGCGAGAGCTTGTGCGGCGGGGTGACTCAATAGAAACACAGCCAGCGTCCACGTGTCCAGACGGGAATACGTAGTGTGAGTGTTGCGGAATACAGATGATGAACGAGTGAGGCCGTACGGCGGCGAGAACATAAACGGCGTGGTGGAGGAAAAGGGAATGACGGGGAAAAGAGGATTTGCCTTCGTCGTTGGTCGATGAAAAGGCGTGCCCAACGCGGGGTGTGCCCATCACCAATGTGCCCAGCTTGCAGCAGGCACCGGAGAGCTCCGCAGAGTTGGAAGTTCGATCGACAAGTATGCTTCATTAAAGAAATTACGCGCCGCCGGGCGTCGAGAGAGGGGCGGAGGAGCGCTGGGAGAGAAGGAAAATCCGTGGAAAAAAATACTTGGAGCCATTTCAGATCAAAAATAAGTGGTAAGCCGACTTTTGTGGTGGTGATCCATGCAAGGAACGATTCCGTCAAACATCGGCGCTGTTCTCAAGTACTTCGATACTTCCGATCCTGACCGTATGGCGACGATTGAACAACTTGTGATACTGCCATGCGAGGGGAACAGGGCACCAAAACAGTCCGTTGCCTTCACCCATTGGTTACAAGTCATCCCGACCAAACGAAAAAAAAAAAAAATGCACTCACGTGCTGCGCTCATCGTCACTAAATTACGAGGCGCCGTGGAGTCTTGCTGCACGCTGCACATGGCCATAAACTATACTTTCCTTGACTTGCCTCTTGCTTGTCACCACAAGCGACCAAATGGAAAAAGAAGGAAAAGCTATCTCTCAAACGCATGTACAGCACTGCACTCATCATCACAAAACCACAAGGTCGCCTTGGAGGAGCCGCATACTGAAACATAGCCATACTCACGAGGCAGTGAGTCTTGAGCACCGCGTCGGAAGAGTAGGCCTCCACCAGGGTAGTCGCTGCCGTCAGCTGGTTCATGGGGAACGGCAGCAGCTGGACACGAAAAAAAAGCACAACAAGAATAACCGGCGCAAGCGTGTGAAGGCTGTTGAGAAACGAGCTGACTCAAAAAAATACACTAAATACGCACCCACGGAGTGCGCGGAAAAACAAAACACGGACCAAAATATTTCTCATCATCATCAGTAGAAGCGACCCTACTCTCATAGAGACTGCCCCCCCCCCCCCCCCCCCCCCCCCCCCCCCCCCCCCCCCCCCCCCCCCCCCCCCC